TCAACTCATTGTTGCCTACGAACAGAAGCACACCTCTATACAGGTTGATTTCTTTCACGAGCATTACCTCTATCTTCGCGTCCTCTATTGTCGAGGCTGAGACCTGTAAGTGTAGTACATATATATCTCCTCTAACAATTCGGTTGTGCGATTTAACCTTTCATTCGTTCGACATTTTTGAGCCTCCAATGCATCCCATAGAACTTCTACTCAATGTTTGTCGTTAGAGTGAGCATCTTCTCTGCAACCAGCCATCAGGATACTAAAGAGTTCTTATGAAACAGGCAAGATAACCTGCTCTAATACAAATTGACATAGGACAAAAACTATGGTTGAGCTTGATATTGTGCAAGCTACACGTTGATAAGAAAAAAGACCTAGAGTCCACTAGGTCGAAACTCTGGTAACACACTAGAAAATTAGAGAAACTCTCAAAAGAAATTGTATTTGAAAATTGACTACTTGTAAATAAAGGCTTAGGGTCCCTTTTATAAGCTCTGAATTACAAACTTACTCAAATTAGGAAACCAATTCCTAACAGAAAAGGAAACAAATAGGCAAGGAGACAACTTCTACACACATTTCCTAACTAATCTAAAAGGAAACAAACAAATAAGAACTCTACTAAGACTAGGAAACTCAAAAAAAGAAACAAATAAGAAAGTTATGAGTGTTTCCATAGGACTGTACGTTTTCATCCTTTCATTCCTTTTTGGGCAGTTTCTTCCTACCCAATTTCTCCATGTATTTATTTGCAAGGTGCTCCGCATCACTTTCATAGTTTCATAAGGTGAATAATTGCTCCAACTCAAATGCCCTGAAAAGCAAAAAAGAATTTCAATTATTTTTTAAACTTTCAGACAATAGCATATATATATATATTGACTTCTCAAATATGTCAGAATTATCAAGTACCCCACCACACCACCTTAATGAAGTGGCTCATGGAAGGGCCATGTGCTCCACATATTGGGTTGCATATCCAGGGCTATGGTTCATTCATCCCAGTCCACCAAACATATCAATCCATCACATATTGCCAGTGTTTTCGAACCGTCATTGACTTGGATGGTTGGGCCATTTAGCTCAGGAATTGTCCAAGTAACTAATTCCTTTTTAACCTAAACCCAATCCTTACCCCAAAACCATTGAATTGATTAACAACCCACTGATCCAAATAGCCAAACAGTCAATCTGTTCGACCATTCAACAGTTTGTAACCGTTTTTTAATTTATTTATTTTTATTTTTTTAAGTTGTAATGGGCTATCCGTTTGAACCAAGTGATCAAACTGTCGACCCAAAAACCAATGGCTAGAACAGTTCTAGTTCCAAGTCAGTTTTTAAAACTTAGCATATTGCTGCTACCAGCTTACAACGCCCTCCATTCATTTACATACAGGTCGTCAATGGTGGTGGGAGCTTTTTACACCCCAGTCCCCAGGTGCAACAGGCTCTAGTGATTGTTCAACAAGGTGAATTTTAGCAATTGATCTGTTCAAAATGGAATGTTTCGAGGAGACGTATTTCTTCCAATTGATCCAACACAAATTATGCATTCGAGAGTTCTTTGCCTTAATTAGAAATTAGAATGTCTCTAATCTTCAATCCTTAGTTTGATTAGTACAGTTTCTTCATTTCTTCACCGAAATTACTAAATTATGTTTGGAACTATAATAGAAAAAGGAAAGAAAATCAAGGCTTAAAAGGAAGAGAAGTGTAGACTATTCATCTTGGAATTGAAAGTTGTGTTGTTAGTTGAAAGTGAAGGGATGAGAGATCCATCCCATGGATACCCAAAGATTGCGGAATAAGGGGCGAATTTAAAAAAAAAAAAAATTTCTCTCCCTTCAACTGGGAATCGCATTCCCTATTTAGAAAATCATATTTTCAATGATCATTCTTGAACCATAAACTGAACCAGATCTGAACCAAAAAGAGTAGGAGAGAATTATACCTGATACGGAAAAATAATATCCCCCAACGAAGGTGTTCACGCCCAAGGAAGGATCCAAAGGCTGCTCCCACTGAAGATGGTGCAGTGCAGGATGGAACAGAATCAGTAGTGTTCTTCTCCAAGAACTCTGTCATTCGCAAGAAACAGCAGGATGGCACGTGAGCACAACTTCCTATCAATTCTTCCTCCAAGAACTGATGTCAAGATCAAATCTTGACTTCTCCCACAACTGGAGATTGAACTGGCAAACGGGGCGGCAAGAACAGGGAGGCAGCAAGAAGGAATTTTGCAAGGATGTTTAATTCTTCCTTCTTGATTTCAACACTCAAGAGAATCTGAATATCTCATTCATCTAAAGGCTGTCGCCCCCTCTTTCTTTTGTTAACCTAAAGGATCAGCTCCTAATCC